GTGATTCACCGACTCCGGTTTATTTCAGCGTCGGGGTTTATTTCCTTGTTCCAGCTTATTCCAGGGATGTGGACAGACTCGGGGGAACGGTCCGCTCCGCAGCACGCTGGAACGGCCGGAGAAAGGCGCCGCGTGCAGCTGCAAACCCACCCGCCCCGCCGGAGGACACGGTTTCTGTGCCGGTCCCCCGTCTCCCAATAAATTAAATAAATCGACTTCCCGAGCACCCGTCCACAGGTGCGTACAGAATAAGCGTGTTTCACACTGTCTGCTCTCAGGGGATGGGCTACAGCCCATAATGATGCAGCATTTCCACGTTGAGTGCTGGCAGAAGAGGCACTGGGAACCAAACCAGCTCTTTAACTGGCTTAGGTAACCCAAATTTCTAATAGCTTAGAATATTAAATAATGTGTTTGTCATTCCTAATATTCAGAAGTATCTTACAACAGATACGGTCCTTCATTGCAATCCCTAAATGCTAAGACAGAAGGTCCCAGGCTGCCCCTTGACGCTTGGATTACGAAGGGGAACCTCTTGATTTCAGTCTCAACATTCACAGCGAGGAGGGAGAAGGGAAGAAGGGTCCAGCCTGACTGGGAGAGCTGTGGTTTCTCCTCTGCTGGTAGCTCATGGCAACACGCTCTTGAGGTAGAAGTTACCGGACACTGCTCTGAGCTGGTGCCAGAGCCCACAGCTCTCTGTCCTCCGTGGAAAGGCGAGTGGTGCGGCCACCACTCCTCCCTCAGCCTGCCTGCATCCTCCCTTCCCTAAGGCAAACGGTGAACATCTTCGAGGTTAAATACAGTGTTCTCATTTTTTTCATTTCTTCATAGGTTCTAGTGGATTATGCACTTCATTTCCTCTCAAGCACTGAGCCTGGAAGGAGCCCTGAAGATCAGAGGCAGCAGAGCAGAGGGGAAACCTGGCCAACAAGATCCTTGCTTGCTTCTTGATCCAAGGAGAAACTCAATTCAGCATCACAGTCTGCAAGACGCCTGGGACACTTTGGAATTGGTTCTTCTGTTGAGAGCATTGCAAATAAACGTGCCTGTGTCCATCAGCTTCTGCAGATCCACACCCTTCATGGGAAAAAAGACACGATACACCTTGGTACCGGTTCTGCCACGTAAAGCTGCCCAGTAACAACTGGCACTGCTAGGAGAGACTAGCAGGGGGTGAGGGAGCCTCAAGGGATTTTTGTCTGCTGCTCACTAGTGTGATTCCGAGAGTGAGGGTCAAATCACAGAGCACTGAAATGCTCCCGGCGGGTCGGGGTGCGACTGACGTGGCACAAGGCACGGCCTGGCTGACCTGCACAGCAGAGCCAGTGATCCTGCAGCTGCACCCGCCACGCTCAGGCTCCCTGGGCCACGTCCGAACCCCCGCTGAACCCGAACGGAGCCACCGTGCCGCTCACCGTGTGGATCCCCAGGCCGTTCAGCATGTACACCAAGTCCTCCGTAGCAACGTTTCCTGATGCTCCCTGGGCGTAGGGGCAGCCTCCGAGGCCAGCGACGGACGCATCGACCACGCTAACACCCATCTGCAAACAAAACCACCATCAGTAAACTCCTCTTAACAGGCAAACTGCGGTCCTGCTCCTCAAATCCACGGCTCACAAGCAAGCACAGAAGAAACTTGAGGAAAGATGCTACACTTCAAAGTAAGAATCTCACCTGAAGCGCTACCAAGATGTTGGCAAGAGCTTGCCCGTAGGTATCGTGGCAGTGAACAGCCAGAGCCCCAACTGGCACCTCTTTCATGACTGCTGTCAGCATCTCCTTCATGCTCCCTGGGGTCCCGATGCCAATGGTGTCGCCGAGGGAAATCTCGTAGCACCCCATCGAGTACATCTTCTTTGAGACCTGTTCACAAGCCAAGGTTGCAACTGAAAAAGCAGCTTTGTCATTCCCTTCCCCAGAGCTGGAGACCCGCTGCACAGAGGAATCAGACTATGCTTCCCTGGGGCATACTGCCACAGAGACAACAGACTCTTCTCCCTGAATTCCCTCATCCATTTCAGCTAGCTGGAACCTTCCCTAGTCTCCAGTTTAACGGTTTGACACATCCTCCAGCCCCCAGTGCCCAGTTCACATCCAGAAAAGGGACCCAAAAACCTCTCGTGAATTGTGGTTATATTTATGATGAACTCACCTCTGCAACTTTAGCTGCAGAAATCTTCCCTTCATAGGGACACCCGAGGACACAGGAAACGTATCTACGGTTAAAAAAACCACGCGCTTTTAGCCGGAGAACCCAAGTGAGATGACACCCACCAAATTAGTCAGGACCTGAGCTGCACCTTGCACGCTCCACACAATGGAAGAAGTAATTTCACACTCTAAAAATCAGTCCAGTAGGCAAAGCTCACACAATTAACTCTTCCACAATTATTTCTTCCATGGACAAGAAAAATTTGCCCAGATGAGGAGCACACAGGACTGTTCGGTTTGTGGATCTACGCACTCCCATGCGGAATGCCTGCCAAGACGCCAGTATTATTTTGGATCATTCGGTAAAGCCGAAGACAGAACAATCACACAAAGGGTGAATCCATTTGGAAGGGCATAAACTGTCAGGAGTGGTACAGGCTTTGCACCAAGCCAGGCTCTCAAGCCCTGTTAGTGTGGTGGCGCTTCCAAATTAATGCTCCTCGACGCCCTGAGCTCACATCTGCTGGCACCCACCCAGGCAGAGAGAGACCCCCCAGAAAAGGTGAAGTGTAAAAGAAATCCCACTCCTCGGTGCTGCAAGAGCTGGACTCCAAGGAGAGAACCTCGAGCAGTCCCATCTCCCCATGCCGAGCTCACGGCAAGCCCTGTTAGTGTGGTGGCGCTTCCAAATTAATGCTCCTCGACGCCCTGAGCTCACATCTGCTGGCACCCACCCAGGCAGAGAGAGACCCCCCAGAAAAGGTGAAGTGTAAAAGAAATCCCACTCCTCGGTGCTGCAAGAGCTGGACTCCAAGGAGAGAACCTCAAGCAGTCCCATCTCCCCATGCCGAGCTCACGGCAGGAACTCCTCCCCCCCGGACGGGAACGTCGGCTGCTCTCGCTGCCGTCATCACTTCACCGAATCTCTCCAAACTCTCCTCGATGGAGCAGTTGATGTTCTTCTTGGTGAAGAGCTCAGATGCTGCTCCAAAGATCGACACTTCCTTGGCCCCTGCTGCCACCTGCCAACAGAAAACATCAATTAAAGTGAGCTGGTTTCCCTTGCAAGGGAAATGACGAGCACAACTCTGACTACGGTCCTCTCATTTTGTACAAAAATATTTTTTTTTCCCAATTTTCCCCCAAATAACCCAATTCTTTCCTCAGTTCATTTTACAACAAAAACACAACAACATGTATAGATGCGGCCGTAACGCTCCATCTGCTGGATGTAGTCAGGAGAGCTGTAGGACACAGAGAGAAGACTGAAAGTGTCACTGTCGATTAAAACAGATCACCTTTTTTTTTTTTTAATAATAGAAAATGCATCAAGGCATTTTCAGGTTTCTATTTCCCCAGTAACATGATCCCTTGTGAAGGAGCTACAATGCCAGAAGGAAGGTGCATTTTCCACCCCTCACCACAGCCCCGCACACTGTGAACACTCGGACGCTGCCGTCTCTTACCGCTGCCTGAAATCCCTTCAGATTTGGGGTCAGCACGGGATAACTAATACCAGGCAGCTTCTTAATTCCTTGCATGACTTCAGTATGGTCAGCCATCTGCAAAGTAAACAAGGAAAGGTTTCTAAGGGGGACAACATCCACTTCCGCAAATTATAAAATAAGTTTTTTGATTTCTTTTTTATAATGGGAACAGGAATGTTTAGGAATAAGAGAAATGGGCCTCTAAAAGGCAAACAGCATTGCACCCAGCGAGGGATCATAGTTCAGCCATCCAGGGCTGACATGTGCACAACCAGCTGTTTGTACCTGAGCTGCACATTTGCTCTTTCGCAGGGTCCAAAGGGGAGGGCTGGGATCCTGCAAGCTCCTTTATTTGCCCGGTTACAAGGATTTTGGAGCAAGCAAAATCTTTTCATTGCATTCCAACCAATTATCAGGCATTTTTATAACACACAATTGTAAATCCTCTTTCAATACTGACCTGAGGAACCCACTTGGGAGAAACGAAGCTGGTGGCCTCTATAACCTGAAGCCCTGTCTCCGACAGCATATTGATCAAATTGATTTTCACCGGTGTGGGCACCACATTCTAAGAAGAAGAAAAGAAAAATGGCCTCAAGTCATTATTTCCACAACAACCTTTTCCACCACTGCGAAACCCCCTCGTCTTTCAACACCAAAACCCAGCATTTTTCACACAAATATAATTGCCATCGGGGCATAGTGGCAGGTT